AAAATAATTTAAAGAACTTAATAACAACTTAGAAATTTTTAAAAAAAAGTTTTTTGAAAGTTTTAAGAGACAGTTCACTATAACACTTGTGTAGGTTATTAATGTTGGCCAAACAAAAATACAGATTCTAATCATATTTCAGTATTACTACATAGGACATACAAAAAATGAAAGCCTGCTGCGCCTGTCTACCTATAGTAAATAAGGCTGCTGCCTCTATTCATCTAGCAGTAATTTCCTGGGTGTTAGCGGACTGATGTGAGTTACATCTCAGGGGATGTTAGTTTACTTTAGATACGGGCTGGGCTTCGAAATGAGCTGAGGTAGGATAACAGCTCGTAGACTGTAACACTGACGTGAAGACTTACAACTCAGTCTTGTCATCAACGTTGATCAAGCCGGATTTAGGGCTTATATATCATTAATTTAAATTTTTCTTGGTAACTGAGCAGTGCAGTATCGTAAACCAAGATGGTGGAACTATAATATAATGAAATACAATTATTTTTATTACAATCAAACCTAAGTGCTAAAAGATGGTTGATCAACACATACTAACATTATAGCATGCTCCTCTCTTAGCGACGAATTCGTTTAACGACGGAGCTGCGTTGTTAAGTGATAAGTGAGGAGAGTACTACTATTCACTCTGATAAACTTAACAATATATTTTCCTATTGTTATTTTTATTATGAATGTCTGAGCTTCGCCAGATATGCAGTGCTTTTTTTTTTTTCAATTTATTGTACATCCTGTGCAGTATTACTGAAATTTAGATTAATATTTTTATCTGTATTTGAAAAACATTAATACCTCCAGAAATGTTAATATTCAAAAGACTTAATAAGAACTTCCACAAACTGTTCTTGCAAAAATTCAATTTGTAATTTTTTATTTTTAGCGATTGAAGATATTTTAAGAGTGCTTGAAATGCTCTGCATATTCAAAGTTTTTCTTTATATGTCAATAATATTACCTTTTTTGAACCAACGTAAAAATTCTTTATGAAATAAAGTTTACTTTTTCGAGCTAATCTTTTATGGATTACCTCTCACTTATGCCAGCAGCAGCAGCAGCAGGCAGGGAGCAGCAGCAGGGAGCAGCAGCAGCAGCAGCGGCAGCGGCAGCAGCAGCAGCAGCAGAGCAGCAGCAGCAGCGGCAGCGGCAGCAGCGCAGCAGCAGCAGCAGCAGCAGCTGCAGCAGCAGCAGCAGCAGCAGCAGCGGCAGCAGCAGCAGCAGCAGCAGCAGCAGCAGCAGCTCCGAGCAGCAGCAGCATTGGTAGCTGCAGCAGCAGCAGCAGCGCGGCAGCAGCAGCAGCAGCTGCAGCAGCAGCAGCAGCAGCAGCTGCAGCGCATGGTAGCAGCAGCAACAGCTGCATGGTAGCTGCTAGTGCAGCATGCTGCAGCAGCTGCAGCTGCAGCATGGTAGCGAGGAGCAGCGAAGCGCAGCGGGCAGCAGCAGCAGCAGCGCAGTGCAGCAGGAAGCAGCAGCAGCAGCAGCAGCTGCAGCAGCAGCAGCAGCGGCAGAGCAGCAGCACAGCAGCAGCAGCAGGCAGCATCAGCAGCGCTGCATGGTAGCAGCAGAGCAGCAGCAGCAGCGGCCAGCCAGCAGCGCAGCAGCACAGCTAGCAGCAGCAGCGCAGCAAGCAGCAGCATGGTAGCAGCGAAGATCGTGGCTAAACTACAATAATGTAGAGAAAATCAAATATAATTTTGGTTCTCAAACAAAAGTTGAAAATATGTTAGGAAACTGGTAATGACGTCCCAAGCACCGCCGAAAATTAAAGTACCATCTTTTTTCCAGTTTATTATATCAAAATATAATTAATCATGATGTGGTTTTAAGCGACTAGAGCTCTGATCCAGAGCACGCATACGCACACTCACACGCCACACACTCACACGCACAAAATAACTTCTCAAACACACACACACACACTCACACCACACACACTCACTCACAACGTTGAGGGCGCCACTTGCCCACATTACACGCACACGTAACACAAAATACAACACATTCACAGTTCAGGTTTTTACAGTCTTTGTATAATCATGGTATCTATGTAATGTACGGAAGTATAAAGTCAATTCGTGAAGTCTAAGTTTCCGCTTGTTTGTCTCTTTTTCATCTGACACCTTCTCACATCTGTCACCTTCCTCACATCTGCCATCTTCCTCACATCTTTCACTTCTTCTAATGTTGTCCTTGTATTTTCCAAACTTAAGTGTGGTTTTATCTTAATGGATGTCTTCCTCTGATATGTTCAAATACGAATACGTTGTATAAATCTGGGTCATGACAACCAAGGTCGAATCCTCGGGCACAGCGCTGGCACGTCTGGTGAGGACACCTGTGGGGAAATAATGGGGTTAATGTTGGTTATAATAGGTAATGGGTGAAGTGAGCAGGAAAAGAATTTAAGTTAACGAATGGTAAACAAATGAAGGAGTAGACCTGATGTGTAACATGGGAAAACTTTAAGCATTAGATAAAAGTATCTGCATTTCAATGGGTGATGTTTCTTAGTAAAATGTATAAATACTGAGGGATTGTTTAAAATGAATGATCGATAAGCTAATTAGTTATGCCTTTAATATACAGGTAGTGATAATAAAAAAGAAGATAATTATATTGGTTTAATCTAATAATATTAGGGTAATATTTTAAAGACAATTCCTCAGGTTTTTGTGTTTTCGCGAGGTGTTGCCAAATTAATTCACTGACTAGTTCTTATGTTAATTTTTTATTGAAATTTGTGGTAATAAAATAATGGTTTCAACTCCATCGGTTTTACGAGATCATTAATGCAGTTCACATCAATCCACTACTCCCATTATGAAGATATTTAAAAGCCCTAATGAGGGAGTAAAGAAACTGTTGTACAGATTCTGAGAGAAAAATCTCGGTGTATATACGCGAAGATTTAAATCTTTGCTTGTGTCGCTGAGATTCATAGTTCTCGTTTATATACCTGAAAAGATATACGTCAAGTGGTTTATGCAGTAGATTATTTGGGTACTATAAGACTCAGAATGAACTAGTGTGTAGTAAGTTGCATGAATACATGTGCCAAAATGTGCCATGGATATATAATAGATAAATGGTGCTATGGGATATAAACGGATGATGAATTGATGTACTGGAACGAACAGTAAATGAATGCCCTTTCGTGCTAGGAGGCAAACAGAGAGAATGGTGTAGAGTACAACTGAAGATGAATGGGTAGGAGGCAAACATGAGATGAATGGTGCTTAAATAGAGAACAAACAG